TCTTCGTCGTTTTACCCCAAGATTTCCTTTAAAACAACCCAAACCCTGCCTTCTATCCACACCACTCCTGTTGGTTTTGAAATGTCGCTAACTAGTTTGTCAAGTCCAATAATTAAAAGTGTTTTTATTTGTGTGTGTTATAGGAACAAGGCCCATAACTACACAAAGGCCATAAACCCTAACTTGATTTAAAGGTAGAGTACATCATTTGTCATTTGTGCATTTTGTTTTCGTTTGAAGCAACAAAAGTGCTCAAAATCTAAAGAAGGGTGCTTAACAACTAACCTGATGAATTTTTTAGCTCAGTGACTGCTGTACATGTATATTCCTAAAGAAAACAATATTCTAGGATCTTGATTTCAATTCAAAAGTTGCCAAGTCTTGTTTGAATTGTGCCTGAAATCAACGTCCGGGACACGTTCTCATTCAGCTGATTGCAGCTACGCGATGTCATGCATTAAACCGACGAATTGTAGCAACTGCGCACGCTTGCGCGTGTACGTCGTGTCAACCCTTGCGCGCAGCAGTCGCTGAATTAAAAACGACAATTTCGTGTCTGTACGTGTACGTGTCTGGCATGCTGTCATTTGGAATAAAACAGCAGAAGATGGTAATTTCCAAAGAAAAAAAATCACAAATCAAAAAAGAATTGCAGAGACTGGTTCCCAGCCCCTCCATTATCACCCTGCATTTTTATATTTGAGAAGGTGGGAACCAGTCTAGTGGCTGTTTGTATACTGCCCCCGTGTGATCAAATTTAGGTAGTCAGGATGAAATCCAAAAGCTCATACGGATTAAAGATCGTACTAGGTACTAAACACCTCGTGAAAATATTCCATCTGGCTTACTGCCATTTAGATGAAATCAAGAAATGTAGGCGATTTCCAACAATCAGTCATTTGACTGATATTTGGAAGAGTGCTACTGACGAAATTTATGTTTCGTGATCAAAGGTTGTGCATGGATTTTCACTGTTTTCTCAAAAACTGTAATATCCACTGAGCTGTAACTTCAACAGGTTAGGTTTTGAACATTCTTCGTTGGATTTTGAGTGGTGTTACTATTAAAAACGAACAAAATACATGAAAAGCAAATGATCGTATATGGCTTGAAAAAGTCGGCCATCTTGTTTTCCGTATGTGCTTTTCTAATACTGCACTCCAAGCACACGAGCATTAATAATTTTTATATATATATAGAAAAGTACATTTTTTAAAGCATTTATACAAAATTATAAGCATCATACACACAAAATCAGAAATTTGAAAAAAAAGAAGCAGAAAATGAAAACTTCTTACGCGAGGAAAACCGTGGCAATTTTTTTCACTTATTTTTTTTTTTTTTACATCAAATACAGTTTAGACTGTCTCTCTAGTGTTGAGTCGTCTTTTATGAAAAGCGCCCTCACTTGACTTGTATGAGTCACTTGACCACACAGCGCCCTCAAGAGCCAATCTGCCTTCCCTTGTTTCAGCCTCTTTCTTGTTTGTCACTTTTCTTTTCATTATTAAAGGTACATGTACGCCAGAACATGGAAACCCTTTCAGTTTTACTGCACTGCTTTTCAGTTTTTGTAGATTTTTCTAATTTGAAATTTAGCTTTGTTCCAGCTCAAACCCTGTATGGATCGGTCTTGGCTTCGTGCACAAGTACCCCCTCAACGGTACGCAAGGGAGAGTTGGGGGAGACCACTGGGAGAGACATTCGAACACATGACGCTATGCCTTTGTGCACATTCAGAGATAATCTTAGGGCAAGTTCGCGCAAGAACTATAGTTGACATTGGTTAACCATAGTTCGACTAAAGTTAGCCCGAACTCTGTCTAGTCGATAGTGGTTGACTACGCTAGTCGACTATTTGGAACAACCTACTGGGGCTGGTTGCATCGCTGGTAACCAATAGCTGCACGCATTCATAACGTACAGCAGGGAGCCAGGACCCAGAAGTTTGGGATGACATTTTGACCAGCGTCTGACTAGAGACGTTCGCACCTTGCTATTAGTGCGCAGGCCTGACTAGAGACGTTCGCACGTTGCTATTAGTGCGCAGGCCTGACTAGAGACATTCGCACGTTGCTATTAGTGCGCAGGCATAAGGTACGTCACAAATCAACCACTAGTCCACTAATAGTCCTTGCCCGAACTTGGCCTATGTTGTGTTCCCCCCCCCCCCCCTTGAGCTTTCACAAGAGGTCAAAAAGCGCCCTCTCTAGTTCACGCAGGGAGCCTATAGAAGGTTTAGAATTTGCTAAAGCAAAGGTTGGAAAAGTGTTTGTAGATTAATTTTTTTTCAAAAGGCAGAAACTACCAATTTTCAATTACATCAAAAATTTTGACATCGTTAATTTCACGGCCGCTATAACTCACTGGACTACGTTTTTCAAAAAAGAAATAGTCAAAAAACGTTAATACACACAGCTTCTCCAAGTTTGCAACTCAGCTCTATCCAAAAGTGGATCGCTGGGAACAGATCCGACTCCAAGAATTTTCCACGGAGGGAAGGGGCCACGAGGTCTTTAAGACCGTCACAGGCCCTTTGCGATTGGGGTCTCGGTTGGCTTATTTACAAAAACGAATCAATCGGACATTAACGGCAAAGATCCCAGCTAGCTTGAGGGCGAGGCTGCGTCCATTCCCCTGCAGCAAAAAAAATAGAGCCCAAACAGAAAAAAAAATTAACTTTGGCTCGATTTTTTTTTTTTGGTCATTTTTTTTTAAGTTCATGGATTCATCTTATCATACAGATCACAGGATGCAGAGGGATTCCAAAAAGAAAATTCAGTCTGCAAGCGCCCGACCGCTGCTGAGATGTTTGCCGTTGATGACTACCGAATACCACGGAGCATTGTTTCAATTTCCTTCTTTTTTTTCTCTTGTCTTTCTGTCTTTCGTTTTCTTTTTGCTTGACACAGAAAGTCCAGGGGACATTTACCTACCTGCCTCCGGCAGGCTGGGTCAGCCGAGGGCAGAAACACTGGCCAACTCTTTCTGAGGACTAAAAGCAAGTTTTAAAAGGAGCTGCCTTGTTTAGCCAGCATTTTTTCTTCCAAATTTTTTTTTTTTTCCTTAAAGCGGGGAGTGTACCGGTACATTCCTCATCATGTATGATAAAATGTTTCCATTCACTTTGTAAAAAAAAAAAAAAATTAAACAAAAATCCATGTTTCTAAAGGAACTGTCTCAAGTTACATTATCCATTAAAAACAAGAAACACACCTAAAATTTACTTCATTTTAAGTTTTTTTTCTGTGCGATCAGTTGTTTCCGAAGAATCGCAAGAACTTAAACGGCACCAGAGACAACTGACAGCGTACACAACAAGACCAGGAGGGCCTGGTAGAGCTGATCCCAGAGTGCACGCCATTCTTTTCCAATGATTCAGAATGACTATTCACTGGAAGTCTTTTCATGCATCTTGTCTACACAACGGGGCGGACTTAGCCCGGTCATCGGCATTACAGGTTAATCCTATACAACAGCACTGCCCGACTCACAAGTGAGCGATAGTCAGTCAGTCAGTCAATCAATCAGTCGGTTAGCGAGATAGGTACGAGAAGAACACTCAGCTGGCCCTCTGGGGCCAGCACAAATTCGTAAAAGAGGATTTTATTTCCCATTTTAACGACCCAGGACCACAACACACAGTTGTACATAACTCACGCCACATAAACCTGTGGTAGTGACTGCTGTGCAGATTTCTTATAACTGAAGAGACATGTTGAAATTGTTTTAAGATATAACGTGGTTATATCAGCGACTCTTTTGTGGCTGCCTACCACGTGTTTTTATATGAATAAACCAGAATAATAATAATATTCCTAAACTAAGATATCTTGGTCGTATTTGGTGAAAACGGTGTTGAAAATAAAGCTCAATTGAAGAAATAGCCGCCATTTACAAAAACAATGGTCAAAAATTCGATTGTCCACGTCCATGGCAGTCATGTAGACCTAATTGCAATTATTGCAGTTCTTTGTGCGTGCAGTGCTATTCTGTTCACCATATCTCATAGACTTGCACGTGGACAAGCTGGTTTTTGACCATTTTTCTTTAAACTATCGCTATGTCTTAATTTAGGATTTTTTTTCAGTGCAGTTTTCACCATATACCACAAAGATGCTGTAGTTTAGGAATATCTTGAGAAACAATTTTAACATGTCTCCCCAATTCCCCAAAATCTGCGTCTGAAAACGTGTATGGGCACTGACAACCATTGACTGAAATTAACACTTTTATTTGTGTGTGTGGCCAATAAGAAAACAAAACGAACGGGGATACCTCACACCCTGACTGGAACTCCCAATTCTTTTTATTTTAAATTTCAACTTTAAAATACTTTGTCAACTTCACTATTTTCCAAGACCAAGCCAAAGTGGTATACCTAACATCGCACACACATCTGTTTCTTAATCCTAGTTACCATTGGCAAATCCACATGTGGCCTACCACCACAAAGTGAGCATGAAGTCAAGAATAGCCCTTTTACAGTACAGTGGGGCAAAGCCAAGAATTGAAAGGGTGGTAGATTTTATTATTTTTAATTTCAGGCGAACCGCAATCTGTAAGTCCTGTTTTTTTTACCTAGATTTTCAAATGTGGTTTTCTACTTTTACAACTTCAATTCAGTTGGCATTATGTTACTAAACGTTATATACCATTGCACAGCTCTTGTTCTGCACAATCCAAAATAAACCCACCTCAATTCTAAACCCATAAACCCATCCCCAGGCATGCATCTGGGAAGTCACAAAAAAAGAGGAAATTCAAATCTTTCCCAGACTTTGTACAGTGTTTTTCTATTTTCAATGGCACACATGTGAAGTAAAAAAAGAGGAAATCAGCTGATCCGAGGAAAAGTTGCATGCCTGCATCCCAAGTTAATCCCAAGTCAATCCCAAGTCAATCATAAGTCAATCACAAGTCCATCACAAGTCAGTCACAAGTCAATCCCAAGTCAGTAGCAAGCAATCGCTAGTAAAGCCGTAACGTGTTGTACTCACCCAGTAAAGTTGACAAAATCTTGCTCTCTGTTTTGGGGTTGCTGCTGCGGGGAGGCGGGTTCCACCGAGCCGGGATTCTCCATGGCGTATGACTGCGGAGCACTACATAGACATTTGAAATACAAAACCATTCTTAAACTTTCACAATTCTCCAATGCAATTTACATCATTCAACATCTGGGCACTTTGCTAAACACGCTGGAGGTTGTCAAAGCTTTAGGCTTTGAAATGCACACAATGCAATGTACACGCACAAAAACATGTGAGACAACCTATGAGTACAACCATGACATCTGTGGGAACGCAGAATACAGCTGCCAAACGCCTGCCATAACTGAGTTCAACGTTGGTATGGTGCATCACAAAGTGAAAATGTGGGCTTCCAGCAAAATTACATAAAAAGACTAGTTAAAGGGAATGTACATCATTGGCTTTCGCTGTAATTTTCAGAAATGAACTAGTTGAGGGGTTAGTATAACAGATCAAATTTTGTTACACTGACATGTTTGAAGTGTTTGAAGTGTCCGAAAATGCTGGAAAAACCAAGAAAAACAAAAATGTCCAAGTAGTCTGGTTCCCTGACTCCACTAAAGATGAAATGGATCAATTTTTAGATGCCAAAAATTGTAAGGTAAAGGAACCAGTCTAGCTGGCCTGCACCCGTTCATGAACATGTAATCAATAGCAAACACAATTTGGACTGAAACAAATGGTAAATTTGGAGCAGTAGTTGAAAAATAGTCAGGTTTTTCCAACGGTGGTCGGCCGACCACCGTTGGAAATGTATACAAAAATTTTCTTGAAAATGTCTTCACACCAGGTACCATAGTTTGACAGGATGTTTTAGACTGTCATTTACCAACATCTTTTATTTTTCGATGTTTGCAAATGTTGTATTTTCCCTTTAAGCATGTTAAGTGTTCCAGTCAAGGTAGCATGCTCGTGTTTGTGAGTTAGGTCCTACAAATGTGCCAACACCAAATGGAACGATAGTATCAATGAATGCAGTAAACTCCCGTTAAGTCAACTTTTTGCCGGTCAAAAGTTGCACGCAAAACGCGCCGGTTAACATTTGCATGCAGTGATCGATATTATGGACAGCTGGAGTGTTTTTACAGTAAGAATTCTATAACTGTCGAGGGCTTTAACCTGCTGAAAGATGGGAACAATGAACCACCGTCAACAAAAAAAATTGGCATCCAACAATAAAGCGCCGCAAGTTTATGATTAAAATAACATCACAGTCGAGTGCAGTTTTTTGTTTAGTTTATTCTTCAAATATTCAAACTGGCAAAAAAGCTATTCGAATATTTGGTTGATGATCCAATATTCAAATATTTGGGACATTCGGGACAGCCCGAGCCAACTTTGACAAACGTTAGTATTGTTTGCGTAAGTGAAACAACGTAACTGTGGTGTTGGATTTTGAAGGATGTGGCATTTAATCAATCACAAACAAAATGAATTTCAAATGGTAGACTCACGTGATCTGGGGGATCTTGCTGACAAGCACAGAACTGACGTATCCATCACCAGATTGAGGGAGCACCTCTGTGAGGAGAAAAAATGAAGCAAAAAAATGATAAGGAATTCACCCAAGTGTGTAATTATCATCAGAATCATTCGCTGGCGTGGTCGTGTGGTCAATAAGAGATCAACTCGGCGCAAGCTTAGGGCAAGTTTGCGCAAGAACTATTGTTGACCAATGGTTAACCATAGTTCGACTAAAGTTAGCCCGAACTCTGTCTAGTCGACGGTGGTTGACTACGCTAGTCGACTATTTGGAACCAGCCTACTGGGGCTGGTTGCATCGCTGGTTACCAATAGCCGCGCGCATTCATAATGCACAGCAGGGAGCCAGGATCTAGAAGTTTTGCGATGACAGTTTGACCAGCGTTTGACTGGTCCTTGCCCGAAAGTGCTGTTGGTTACTGGCTCACACGCACTGCAATGGCCCAGTGAACATGGTTTGATTCTCCTCTTTGAAGCGAGAATAAGCACAACTGTGGTTGTAACTGGTGTGGTGACAATCTGCTTGGTTACTGGTTCACACGCACTGCAACGGCCAAGTGAACACCATGGTTTCACTACGGCTGTTGTGAATCCGTTTCATAATTGGCTTGAATCTCTTCTTTGAAGTTAAAATAAGCACAGCTGTTAGTTGTAACTGGTGTGGTGACAATCTGCTTGGTTACTGCTTCACACGCACTGCAACGGCCAAGTGAACACTGTGGTTTTGCTATGGCTGTTACAAAATCCATTTCATAATTGGCTTGTTTCTCCTCTTTGAAGCGAAAATAAACACAACCATCGGTTGTAACTGGTGTGGTGACAAACATGCTGAAAGGCAGTGAACCATTTTCAGGTACTAATTTGTTAAAATGTTCTATACAAGTAGAATGTGAAATTTCTGTCTGTGATTGTGTGTTAAACGTACGTGACATGGGGGGGGGGTTCAATTTTTCTTCATTTTTGTTTTCAACTGACACAAAATCTAACGCTTGAGGGGAAAAAGGCTTTTAAGAACTCACCGTCTACGGGCGTGTAGAAATTCCCGAACGCCGTGTCCTTGGGAATGTCGGGAAAGAGGTTGGTCAGATGCGGCAAGTCGTGGATGCGATCGGCAAGCGAACGAATGTGGAAATCCTCACTTGAGAATGGCAACAGATTCAGCACTTGTCTCTCTCCTAAATGTCGAGGTTGAAAAATTGAAAGCATCTCAAAACGTGGTGGCGTTTTCCAGAACCAAATCACAAACAGAACTAGTTCAGAAGACCTTTTTATATTCAACACTTCACAACATGTTATGAATCTCCATGCAGGCTGTAATTCAGCGTTCCCATAAAAAAAAATTAAAATAAAAATTCCACGACTTTTCCAGGACAAAATTAGGACATTCCATGACAAATTCCTATGCTGTTTTGACATCTTGGGAGCCTGTTTACAATACACTGGCCAGTCATCACACTATGAGGCAAGGGATGCCACTCTCTTCAGTCTTCCAAGTATACAGCATGAAAAGGAAGTATAATAAACTGGAATGCAAACTGAAAGACTGCCACAACCAAATATTTTGGATCAAGTTTTCCACGACTTTTTCCTCGGAGTATCAACTTTACAAGACCCCTTGTAAAAAAATATTCTATGCCTTTTCCATGATAGCCTTAAATTCCAGATTTTTAGGATTTTTCAAGACTGCGAGAACCCTAGAGGTGTTCTTTTATGAATTATTCCGTCAAAAAGGATTAATTTTTTTTTTTTTTTTAAATACCCAACAGTTTCATTGGAATTTGTTAACAAGTGACCTCTGACCTGTGGTGGGGTCCTCGTTGACCCAGGTGATGCTGATAGCCCCCAGCTTGGAGTCACTGAAGCGTAACAGAAAGGTCCCCGTCTGCTTCGTCAAGAGCAGCTCCTGGGCATGCTCCTTGGTGATGAAACCCAAGATGGACCTTCGGTTAGAAAGAAAAAAAAATTGGTAAAAGTAGACCCATTTGTGTATGATTTTAATGATACATGATGTAGAGCTTTGATACGTTGAGTTGAGTTTCGGTTTCGTCCTCTACCCACATTTGGACTCTGTGCAGAAGTACCCCCTCAATGGTTGCAAAAGGGAGACCACTGGGGAGATATTGTAACGCATTACTAGCGACACCCGACGCTCACGCAAAGACGCAATGGCTTTGTAAACATTCGCTATAAAATTGGTCGTGCGTGCTTTGCGCTATACGTACGCAAACCAGTACACACACGTGGTGCGTCCTGTCCACTCGGCTCTTGAAAGTGATACACAAGCGCCCTCTCTCTTGTTAGCGCACAGAGCCTATAGGAAGTGTCAAACGTTTATGCGATATGCGTGAATGGCCAGTCACTATCTGGTGTCAGAAAGATTACGTTCCTGGAGGACAAAACCCAATGAGAAAGTTTACACCTGCTGCAAAATCCTGAAAGTGATTATTAAAATTTGCAAATAGCACGTCTCTTTATTGAGAGGAATGTCGAGAAACTTCGTGGAATTTTGAGGAATTTTGAGGAATTTTTACCCTTCATTCCAGGGAGGTCGCAAGTATTTTCTCGTCAGCTCCAATACACCGTGGAACCACTTCCAGAAGGTGAACGTGCAGCCAGGCAAGGGATCCTGAAAAAAAAAAGGTAAAAGCAATTATTGTGACTAATTAAGACATCTCAGAATCATATTTATTCCCTCATGTTGGGGAAGCTATTAAAAGAAAAAAATTGAAAGTAACATACCCTGTTGAAGGTACTCCAGCTGATGTACATACTGTTGAAATCATCCGTTTGAACACTCTGACCTGTAAAAATAATTTGGCAAAAATCTTATGACTAAAACTCTTCAATGTTATCGCTTGCACCGGAATCATTTTGTCAGGCTTTAAGAATTCAAATTCAAAAGGGCACTCCTTTTCAAAAATGCTAGCATCCTTTTAAGCAAATTGAACATTCCTGTAGAAGATGACCCCATCATATATTTATTAAAGCTTGAATTTGGGTAAAAATAATGAGACTTAATACCATAGAACCACTAAATTATTTTAACGCTAAACATCACATGTATGTGGATTGGTAAACCGCATGCGTGAACCAGTTAAGTATCCTGAAACTTTTTGCTGTGTAAAGACAGGTTACCAACCAAAATATCCTGTCAGACATATTTCCAGTCACTGGTTCCCTGGAGTAATTTTTGGTCTGGTGCCCATATTTTGCAAGGTGTTATTTGAGTCTTGGCTTCTAGGAACCGGACTAACTCAAGGATCCAGGTTCTTATTCCACAGAACCAAAAAATACACACACAAAAATGCTTGTATGAACTTACCACTGAACGCCTTCATAGCCAGATACTGCAGGTTTTCGTTGGACAAGCTGCGGCCGTTGATTGCCATAAACTTGGAGTTGAGAGCCTGCGCCATATCTGGCCATGGTACCTTGTCAGGAATGGCAAATGGTACCCTACCCTGTTACGTCAAAAAAAGATGAAACAAACTAGTTATCTTTTGCAACAGCTTCACTTTGCAATGATTACCCCTAACCTTCCCAAATCCTCCAAAATCCTCTTTGCAAAATGGAGGATTTTGCAGGATTGAGGTTGTGGCAAAAGTGTGTGGCTGATTTTGGAGGACGCACTGTGTCAAGGTCTTGGGCCGGGCCTCGTGTTGTTTATGCTCAGCCGTGCATAACTTTAGGCCTAGATTATACTTGAAATCCTCCGCACTGCTCCAGGATGTCACCGGCTCTGCTTCAACATATTGATATTGATTGCTGGAGGATTTTGCAGGATTGACACAGTGGTCACCCCTCCGAGGACCATAGCGGATGGTTTTAAAGGATTGAGGCTGTACGCAATTTTTACAAGGAGGCAGTTGGAGGATTTTGCAGGATTGAGGTTACATTCTAGCAAAAATGCCTATGGAATTAGGGTTTTAATGCAACAAACTTCTCTCTCACAATTCAACAAACCTCACAACACCAGCTTGGCTTTTAAGTGATAGGTTTTTTCGGGTACACCGTGGAATGTGTTTGTGTGAAGTGTGGTCCGGAAAAGAACCAGAGGTGAAAATTGTTTGAACAGTGTACTCTGTTTGTACTCAGGAGAGCGCCGGATGTCTGAAGCGTCAAGAAAAATTCTCGTCTCCAGTTCTTTTCAGAACCACACTTCCTCACAGAAGAGACATTAGATGGTGAACCAGCAAACCTTTCACGTGCACTATGTTTTCACTGCATGGGTGTGAGCGGGATTACGTCAGCTGATGAAAACAAAGGCCGTGTCCAAAGCCGGCTTCCAGAGCTACGGCTACGTCTATTGTCAGCGCATCCCCGCATATTTTCAATGGGCGCAGACCTAGACCTAGCTCTAGACAACTGATTCGGATGCAGCCATATATTCATTTGCACACCAGTTTTCAACGGTTGCCTTGAGTTATCATTCAGCACACCAGACTCAAGAATACGTTTGAAGTAAATAGGTCTGGGAACTAGACTGAGCAATGTCAAAAGCTGCCGCATGTCCATGCACACCGATTTGTCATTTTTGGCAATTCTTCACATGCCGTAGTGGAGAAAATTGCAAAAAAACTGAATGGGGAGATTCTTTTCTCTTTTCAGATTTGATATTTGTAATCTTTGAACATAGTTTAAAGAAACTGTACAAAAATCATGGAATGAAAGTGTTTTTAAGGAAAAATAATTGACATTTTTCATTTTCACGACTTCAAAATAGAACTTTAAAAGGCATTTTTCTCAGTATTTTACTTTTTTGACATAAATGCAAACTTTAAACGGCCATAACTTGTCCTACCCATTTATACCCCTGGGTAGAGAGAGGCAATTGTAGTTAAGTGTCTTGCCCAAGGGCACAAACACCATGTTCCTGGCAGGGTTTGAACCCACGCACCATCGTACATGAGCCAAACACCGTAACCACTGTACCATGGCATTCTATATAAAGAAACCCCCCTTACAGTAAAACCTCAGGAATTCCAGATTTTAAAAGCGATTCTTTAAAATTCTTAAAATCAGGCGTAATCCTGACAAAAAAGTCCTGAAATCAGGATAAATCCTTAACAAATCTTACCTCTGCCTGAAGGGTCTAAAGGATTTACAAACTGTACTAGATTCTGAGTTCAGAGTAGGAGGATTTTCACTGAATTCCTGGCTGCCGAGAGGCGTATCTCATGGTGTCAACGTTTGTTTGTTTATTTTGAGTTTTTTTAACGAGCAAACTACAAACTTACGGGCTCGGCAAAGGCATAGTCCCAGAGGACCGTGGCCAATGCGTTGGCTTCCTGGTTGCCGTGAACGATCACCACGACAGGCAGTGACATGGTCTGTGGGATAAACAACGTTATATAAACAACGCAAAACTAAAACTAAAAAAAAAAAAACCCCGGTAAAACAACAAACCATCTGTGAACTGGGACAGGGCTGGGTATGGATTTTTAATTTTTTTATTTGAGTTTTATAAAGTTAATGATTTGCGAGAATGATTTAAGCTTCTTCTTTTTTCAAGGGTGAAGCATATGATGCAGTGAGTGATGGCTGCAGATCAATTGAAATGATTTTTAGAAGAAAAAAAAGAGAGAAAAGCAGGAAATGTAAAATAAACACAAAAGTTTGGATTGATTTTTTTTCTCATGAATGATACTATAAATTGATTTGTTTGTTCTTTTTGGTCGTTAGACTTTTTCAAAAATATAAATACTGGCTTTTTTATTTATCTGTCCAGCAAAGAATTAAATGACTATTTTGTCAGCAACTACATGTACATCCAAATATAAAATAGCGTAGTTAGCACTAAGCCATGCATGGGGTGTGCTGGTTATGTTAAAAAAAAAAAACATTCCCGAAAGCCTGACCCATTTTCACAGACAATTTGTTGTCCGACGCTGGGTTTGGGGGAGAAAAAAACTTACTGAAGAGCAGTCACCAAAAGCATTATCCCAGAGAATGGTTGCTAAAGCATTGCATTCTTGGTTACCATGCGACACCACAACTACGGGTAGCGAAAGGCTCTAGAATGCAAACAAATACAAATAAAAGGGGGGTGGGGAAAGGGGACGAACACACACAAGCGGGAAAGACAGAAAATAGAAAAGAGTTTTGACTTTTTTTCTTTCTTTCTTTTTTTCTGAAAAGGGTGCGACACAAGTCAGAAAACTGGAAAGAAAAGTTCAGCAATGATTTACAGGCAAAGGTACAAAAGATGCAGTCAATTATATCACAAGTCGATTGAAAGTCGATCGTAAGTAACAGGGCGTGAAAAACAAAAATGACAAAGGAATGTGTTTGTCACAGTTCGTTTTGAATATATCGTGACTTGTCTCGAGACTGGATGATTTTGTGATTGACTTGTGATTTGAATTGACAACAAATCTGCTTGTGACACCCCTTTTGGTGGAAGCAAAGTTTTGTCCCCTTTTTTTGGGCGGGATAGATGATGTTAAAATAGCCCATGGTTTTGACATAATATTTTCATTCAAATGTGAATTGGTGATTTTATGATTACATATGGCTAGGGAATGGGCAAAGGATATGGGCTGCATGAAATTACTGTTACTTCTTCCCAAGCGAATAGCAAAAAAAAAATATAAAGCAAAATGCATGATTTTGGAACTTTTTTACCAAATTGCAAAGGTTATTATGATTCGATGGTTTGCAATTGAAAGCTTGCACCATTTAATATACATGTACGTCAAGATTGTTATGGGTCTTTTATTTGTAAATATATGTATACAGTACTTCAATTGTTTTTGACGAAAGTTTTTTTCACAAAGTAAATAACTAAATAATACAAGTTGCAAACCAACTACAAAATCTAAGTTTTGCAATCAGTCCATCAAAGCACATGTAGATCAAACAGAAAAAACATAACAATTTGAATGTGAATGTGAGAACGTTGACTATCTTCCGTATTTCACAGATTTAAATGTAACCCCCCCCCAAAAAAAATTTCACCTTAAATAAGCATGACATTATTAAAACAACATTCTCATTATTAAAGAAGACACTGTTGGATTGAGCAATTCCAACATTTTTGGAATCAATTCCAATTTCCAAACAGGAATCATGATTCAATTCAGAATCAAATCTATTTATATCCATTCAAAATCTGTGAGGAAAGATCTCCATAATTTCACTAAGGAATGACGGTACTAAATTGCTATAAACAGTTTCATTGAAAGGAGTTACATCGTGTTCAAATGATAATTTGCCACAAACATGGACATGTTAAGTGACGTAAAATTTGTTTTGAAGTGTCAGGAATCTACTCTTGCAAGAAAAGAATTGTTTAATAGAAATCGATTCCTAAAAAAAGTGGAGTTGATGCGATTCTGACCTAAAATCACCAAAGCCTAGCAAACAGTTGGGAAAGGCACCCTCCCAAAAAAATTATCAGCCAAAAGTTAACGCTTTAGTTTGTAAATTATATTGATGGCCTTTACAGCCCAACCCTGATCACTGTTCACAGAGGGTGTGATGTCCAAGGTACAAATAACCCGTCAGTTGTTTATTGCAATAAACTTGCATACAAAAAAACAAGGAAATTTTATCTTTCCTTTTAATTCTTTCAATAAAACCAAATGTTCTTTTTTAAAATGATCAAGATTAAAACAAAACAAATTAAAGCAGTCAATATATAAAGGTTTTCAAGTCTTTTAACAGAATTTTTCAGACTTTTTTTTTACCTCGAGGAGATGTAGATTTTAATACAGGGGGGTGCCCTTAAACTTAAAGAGCTTGTAAGAAAAAAAACACAATATTTTTAGCGGGACTAGTCTTGGGACTAGGACTTGGATTTTATTCCCCTTATACAGCCGGTCCGTGACAAGCGGTCGCTATCAACACGATGAATCAAATCCAGTCTTGGCAATATTGGCAGTGCTACCCGGAGAAAATTCCGAACATACCTCCCACACGCTGTATTCAAGCTAATGCAGGCACGCAAGGTATGCACGGAATTTCCCGGGTAGCGCTGTCAATATTGCCAAGACTGCATTTGATTCACCTTGTTGATAGCGACCTCCACCGCCACGGCAACTTAACTGTGTTTGTCACGGGACTGGCTGCAAAATAGGGGAATACAAATTCAAATCGGGACTTGGACCAAGAGTATGGCGGGACTCGAACCCATGTCCTCCAACTAATAGAACTGACATCTTTGCCAGTTCACATCGGCAAAGAGCCCAAAAAAATTATAACAAATGTAAGTTTTGGTCTCTTTTCTGAAAATACTTTCACACACTCCCGTGTGCCTCATGGGAGGGGGGGAAGGGACTAATATAATATAATAACTGGAATTTGATGTCCATTTATTCTTGGAAGGAGCCACTTTTACTAAGTCGGTTCTACTTACCCTAACTTGGAACATCAGTTCACCACTGGCTACAGAGAAGTGAGACCTAAAGAGTAATGTGAACTTTTCTTCGGTAACAAACTGGGAAATTTAAAAGTCAAAAGAAAATGTGAAGAAAGAAAGTAAGTTCAGGTTATTTTGGAAGACAATTTTTTTCTTTCATTATTAAAACCAAGTGGGCAAAAGATGAAACAGACTGTGTCAAATGATTCTTAAATACAAGTATGAAGAGTTATTGTCATGACAGTTTAACATCCTATTTCTTGTTCGTTTCTGCTTTTTTTGACAGGACTTAAATCTATATTACTTTAACCCCGTCTGTCTGTTTGTTTTTCTATTTGTTTGTTTCTCACCTCAGTCCCTCTTCTGTCCGCTCGTCTGATTTTCTTTAGGGACTGGAAAACAAAAGCAGAGTTTGGAAATTATAACAAGATATTACGCAGGAAATACAAGTTTACCCACGTGTATAAAATGTCTTTGTTCATGAGACACTAGTCAGAAGCCATAAACCCATATGTGCCAAGGCCTATATGCCTTAACCCTAACCCCTAGGACCTTTTGGCTAGGAACCATCCTCAATCCTGCAAAATCCTCCAATTGCCACCATGTCAAAATTGGATTCAGCCTCAATCCTCCAAAATCATCCGTTATTTCTTGAATTTGTTCAGTGGAGGGGTGACCATTGCGTCAATTCTTCAAAATCCTCCAACAATCATTGTTAATGGGTTGAGGCAGTACCGATGACATTCAGAAGCAGTGAAGATGACATCAAGCATAATGCAGGGCTCAATTATGCATGACTGAACATAAACAATGCAGGGTACAGCCTACCAACTCGACACAATGCATCCTCCTAAATCAACCGACACTTGTTTGCCATTCAGCCTCAACCCTCCAAAATCCATCATTGAAGAGGGTTAGGTTCAGTCATGATGCTAGCTTCAAAATTCTACACAAAATTCTACTCGATTGATTCAGACTGACTATTTACTGGAAGAGTTTTCATGCTTCTGGTATGCACAATAGGCCCGATCTGTCCTATAGGGGTAATCCTATACGATAGCACTGCCCGGCTCGCTTCACTCTGACTAGGAATGTAAGGTTGAACAGACAAATGTCTCACCATGTTTCTGAAGGTCACGTTGAGGACTCCAGAGTCCTTGTGGTATTCCAACACCCCGGAGTTGTTAATGATGTCGCCACTGGTGTCGTTAAAGTTGGCGTTCTCATTGTGCAGCATGTCTTTAGCCTGTGACTCACTGGTTGAAAAAAAATTCAAATACACAAAAGTCCAGATATTCAATTTGTAGAAAAGCAGAATTTTTTGTAAATGATTTGTGTTGCAAACAAAGCAGTAGAGTTATTTAGTTTGTCCTTAGCCCTTTTCACATTTTACACTGATGCCAACTTCTGTATCTGTGCACAGAATGATGTTATCTTAGTTCTGTTAGTTCCTGCACCGCCTCTACTGCTTTGCCTGCTGCTCCCTGGGAATAAATACAATGTTATACAAATAAGGAATGTTTGTGAATGCAATGGTAAGAATAATTTCATTCGGTGACAGATGGAATATTCCATTCCACTCGGCGAGGCAAAGCCAAGTGGAATGGAACATTCCATCCGTCACCGAATGAAATTAATCTTTCCACTGCACGAATGTGAAACATTCATAATTTGTTTTATACAACACCTTAATAAATCCTCGTCATCTGATTGGTCAGAGCTGCCAAAAGTGTGACCGTGCAGTGGAACTATCATTTACCGTGCAATGGAACTCCTGTTTTTGAGGTGCGGCCCACCGTGCATTGGGATGAACAATGCAATGACACCAAACAGATGACGGGATTCATTCGGGCATTGTATGAAATACAAATGTAAAAAATGTGCTAATGGGTTACGCCTCAGTTTTTGAGCTGAATGAGTAAAAATACAAAATTGTCAGATTTGGGGGTTTTTTTAAAGGCATTTTGCTTACCTGATGATTGTGGCCTTGACTTGGGGCGGGTTCATGTGAACATTCAGCTTGCCTCCGACCAGCAATCTTACAGGGAGAGAAAATCAAAACATTGCTGAAAACTTGATTTCATAAAATCTATTATGGCACTCTTTCCATCACAGTCATTGGGTCAAGCACAGCGAGAAGCAAAAGACAAGAAAACTTTTCAACTTTTCATGAATTTGGGGTAACAACATGCGTCTGGTGAGATTATCGCATCAAAAGTGATGTTTGAAAAGCATGATGTTGAAGTCAAACTCGGAGGGTGTAACATTTGGTATTTGAGGTATGTTGTGTAGAAACTCCGAGACATAAACATTTACGGACAAAGTAGAAGATTTTTCGAACAATTTAGTTTTTGATTATTCTGACTTAGGCTTGGATGAATATGCGAATAAAAAATTTGATTTTGACATGCACTGACCGAGTTAAACATGCCTAAACTATATTTTTTACCAATTTTTGGAGAAGAAACTTGAGCAAATATTCTGCATGGATGATGTCGAATCATGCATAAAAAATGGCTTCCAACAAAAGTGTGGCAGTTGGCAAATAATAAAACCACACAACTTTTTTTTATCCTTTCCTCGAGACCCCTCACATTTTGAGAATATTTTAATTGAAAAAAAAACGCCAAAAAGATCGAATTTCAAATATTCGGAATATTCAAATATTCGGATGTACAAACAAAGGAAAGAAGATTATAACAATGGGGCGTCCACGATTGCTGGCATTTACACACGTGGGTGCGTGGGTGAGTATGTAAACACCGGCAATCGTGGACGTAGGACAAAAGAATGTGGGCGCAAACAATACGTCCACGATTGACCGAACGTCCACGATCTAAATCGTGTAAAAAACCAATGAGAGCTGTCGCTAAAAAGTTAAGGTACAAACAAAGGAAGAGGATTAGGGACAATGGGGCGTCCACGATTGCCGGCATTTACACACGTGTGTGGGTGGGTGTGTGTGTCCGGACAAATATTGTCAGCGCGTTAACTTGAGAAATACTTAACATATGAACTTCAAATTTGGTTTTTGGATTGTTCTTGGTAATCCTAAGAAGCCTATTGCATTTGGGGCCAAAAGATCAAGGGTCAAGGTCACAGTGGCTAAAACAAAAGAAATTTTGTCAGCGTGATAACTTTAGAAATACTTTTCATGTGAACTTCAAATTTGGTTTGTGGATTGTTCTTGGCAATCCTAAGAAGTCTGTTGCATGGGGGGCTGAAAGGTCGAGGGTCAAGGTCACAGCGGCTAAAACGAAAGAAATTTTGTCAGCGCGATAACTTGAGAAATGCTTTACATGTGAACCTCAAATTTGGTTTGTGGATTGTTCTTGGTAATCGTAAGAAGCCTATTGTATTTGGGGCCGAAATGTCAAGGGTCAAGGTCACAGTGTCTAAAACAATAGAAATCTTGTATTTACTCTGAGATCATAGGGATTAATTCATATAAAACCTACAGAAAACACTAATGATGTCAATGAACGTTCCATGTGAGCCAAGTACATGTACATGTAAGTTGATGTTAAAAGAGTGGTGTTATGTCATGGGAATAGTCGCCGTCGCGGGGCACTTGTGTTTGTAAACACACCTGACTTGTTTAATATGAAATGGAATCCTAATGTGAATACGCAGCCCAACAACAAAAATGACAAAAAAAGTTTGTTTCAATGTTAGGAAATACAAAACTAGCACCATACCTGATTGCGGCCGAGAAGCGTGTCTCCTTCTTGAGGACCTGGGGCGGCTGCTTCTCGATGACGAAGGTGGAGCTGACCAGCGCCGACAGCAGGCCCGTGAAGCTGTTGCTGAGGTCCGGCATTTCCTGGGCCGGCATGTTCATGGGCAGCTGCTGCTTGAGCTGCTCGATGCGCTTCAGCTGCTGCCGGTTCTGCCAGGTGATCTCTGCCAGGGATTCGCACCTGTTTGGGGGAAACAAGACAACAGGAAAAGCTTAGCCTCAAAGCTGATTAAAAAGCCGACAAACTTCTCTTCGATTGATTGAAAGTGGTTGCTCACTGGAAGTCTTTTTGTACATCTGGTCTACATGATGGGCCGGATTTAGCCCATTCATGGGCGTAATCCTATACGACAGTACTGCCCGGCTCACAAGTGACACTCCTTGAGTCAGTCAGTTATGGGAGTCAGTCAGTCAGCTAGTGAGATTGGCAACAAGAGGACACCAGGCTGGTCGCCTGGAACCTGCACAAATGCAAAATTGCTTAACCCTAACTCCCTAGGCATTTTTTTGCTAGGATGCAACCTCAATCTTGCAAAATCCTCCAATTGCCTCCACGTAAAAATTGCATACAGCCTCAATCCTGCAAAATCCTTGGTCCTTGGAGGGATGACCACCGCCTCAATCCTTCAAAATCATCCGTTATGGTCATTTGAGGGGTGACCAATGCCTCAATCCTTTAAAATCCTCCCGTCATCCTTTAGACTCTTAACTTTGACAGAATGACCCGGAAGGATGACGATGCTCACCAGGATTGTAGGATATCAAGGGAGCCCTCTGGTGAGCAGCCGATGCCGGCCAGCTGCTGCTGTCGCTTCCAGATCTTCAGCTCGTCGTTCAGCACCTTGCTCTGCACTTGGCTCAACAGCATGAAGGTCTCCTTGTGCATGTCGGCAAGTTGCTATGGCAACGAGATGGAAAAACAGCAAATTACAGACTTTGTTGTATTTTTGAGCAGAAGACAAAAACAAAAAAATACTACATGTACAAGAGTAATCAGAGCAAACAAAAGTAAATACAAGTCATATACAATACAAAATGTTGCACAGTGTCTTACGATTCTCATGCCCATGAGCTGCTGGGCTTCGGTCTGCAGGACCGAGTTGACCTCCATCTTCTTCTGGTTGAAGCGAGTGAATTCCACCCTCCGGTTGGGATCATCCTGCTGAGGGTACTGCTGCTGCATTTGATCCAGCGCATCTAAGAGGTTATCAGGGGTAAGAGATTGGGAGGAAATGAAATATAATCGGCACAGGATTTGAGGGTCAACGAGGGCCCTAGAACAATATAGGGTCTATGACACGTTTGTATGAATTTGCCTAAAGGCATCCCTAAAATACCAAATTCTCTTGTTCTACAGGGTGGTCCCCCCAAAAAAAGTTTACACTTTTTCAGACGCAGATTTCTCAAAATTGGTGAGACATGTTCAAATTGTTTTTCAGATATTCTAAAACTTCACGATCTTGGCGGTATATTGTGAAAATGGCGTTGAAAATGAAGCCTCAATTAAGGTGTGGCGGACATTTACAGATATGGTCAAAAACCAGTGTCCACCACTGATCTCTATATAAAGACTAGATAGCGGACAAAGAGCCGCACAATGAATGAATTTGACGCCATATTGGTGAGACCGGCTGGTGATCTACAAAGGACAAGTTGCCGTCTTTATAGACAGCATGATTTCTTTTGTTACATCGCGGTTCACTTAACTTATATTTTTACCACCACCACTGACCAAGGTTTACAACTTTTCGAACGTTGTTTACTTTTTTTTAATGCCGCCGTTTACTTTTTTGGCTTTTTGGAAATAATCATCACTACGGAAATGTGTTCTTTTTAGAACATCATAATATGTGTACGTGACCAAAATGCCCGTCAACTCTTGATATAACGCGCGCTGTATATACGCCTAGAATGTTCGTATTATACGCGGCCATCTTCGTGAGATGAGACCGGGGGCGAATTGCTCAATATTCAAAGTCTACTGTGTGAATGGTGTATGGATATCACTCGCGACTCTACAAGACATGGTCAAAATAATAGCACAACACAAAGAACTGCAATAACAATAACCGTATCTCATGCACGCGTGCGGACAAACTGGTTTTTGACCATTTCGATTACATGTAGCACTGGTTACATTGTAGCACTGATTTTGTACAAGTCCAATCATCGTATGTTATGATAGTACAGCAGAAAAGTACATGTGTCATACTAGACAATGTCAAGTGTGTCATATGGCACGAAAATATAAAGCATTTGAAGAAGAAAAAAAAATGCACAAATCCCTTAAATTTGACCAAAAATACCACATCCCTGCCCATTTCCTTGAAAAACACATTGGAAATCTGCAGACATTTCTGAGAATTAGCAGACATTTCTGAGAATTTCTAAGATTTGTCAATTGTTTTTCTTCTTGGAATAGCCCCTTAAAAGGAAACTTACTTTCCAGCATACACCTTGTTTCCTGGACTTTGACGGCAAACAGTTCCTGCTTCTGTTGCATGTCACTCAGTTGTTTCTCTTGAGACTATGGGAAAAACAAGAACAAACATTTTAAACATGTATGTTAAGGTTGTGACGTCTTCTCATGCAAACGTTTATAAACGTTTTCCCCCCAAATTTCTGACAACTCTAGAATGGGAATGCCATAATTATGATTTCAAGGAAGTATGATTCCCAAACAACCCCTTCCCCTCCCAAATTTCCACTAATTCTTGTAAAATAACAAAATTCCATGACTTTTCATGAAAACTCACCTGGGTTTTGTACTTGAGATTCTGCAATGTGCTTTCGATCTCGTTGTGTGAATCGGGAACCGGCATGACCTGTTCCATAGATTCCTGCACACCATTCTGGAAATAGAAGAAAACTTATTAAAAATTGTGCCTTTCTGAATAATTTTCAAAGGGAAACTGATGAATGAAACATGCCCCCAGAGAAAATCTGGTCGTTTGCATTCATCGGGAATCGTTGAGCACGCAAAATTGCTGAGGAGAAAAAAAATGATCAACTACTTGATAAATATCAAATTATCAATGTGGGCCTCGTATACTTACCGTATCTTGGTCCACTAGCCTCTGCTCCTTCTCCAGACAATGACGTACTACTCGTACAAACTTCAACGGATCGTTGACATAGGTTTCCTGAAACATCAACAACAAAAAACAAGACAAATAGAAAATATGCTTCAAGTACACTCAGATGAAAAGCTGGGTCATGCGTACAGACTAAAACGTTACATTTAGAGGGGGTCTTCTATCAACTCTGTCAATTCTATCAAGTCAAGGATTGGTCAGAAATAGTCAGAATCTTTTAGTCTGGGAACAAGACTAGGGCTTATTCCCAGAACGGGCCATTCATGTAACTCACGTAGAGCTCGGTGGCAAAGTTGCTGAGCTTCATTCGGAGGAAGAACTTGTCTTCGCCCGTCAGGGCTTCGGCCTTCTCGTTGATCTGCTGGATCATCTGCTGCAGGAGGATGGTGGCAGCTGGCTCACTGCTTGGACTATCTGTATCGATGTTTCCCCTGAGTGGGTAGAGACAATGAAAGGGTTTCATAAGCACAAGGAGGTTGGTAACTTTTAGGTCCCTGTTTCTACATGTATATATACACACATGTAAGAAAACAAAACCCGTTCTTCCGTTTTGAGCTCACCTAAAAATCTGGCAAAATGCCACTTGAATACATGTTTTTGGACTCATCTAGGCAACTGGCAGTGATACCATGTTGAACATCAGTAGGATTAATTTTGTGGAAAGAGGACATGTCATGAATTAGGAGGTTCCTTTTTTCCAATCCAAAAAATGTGTGTAGATGTTACTCACGTATTATTAGATACATGTATGTTTAAAAGGCAGGTGAGCATTGGACATGGTTGCCAGTCTGACAAAGCTCCAAGCTTAGGAGTGAAATGTTACTAATAATATGTGAGTAACATCTACACATATTTTTTGATAAAAAAAAAACGAATCTCCTAATTCATGTTTAACCAACAATCCAGATGAACTTATTTAAAGATTTCAGAGGACATGTCCTTCAAAATCCACAATGCGATATTTTAGAGGATTTTTGTAGGGTTGCTTTTATTTTGCACAGAGACATCCGGGCATTTTAGGATATCGGCACACATTTTGCTTGTTCCTGCTCAATCAAGAGTGTAGAAACTCACTCTTGTCAACCAGTCTACAGAGCTTAGCAGTTGCACCATCACAAGCACTGTTTTCAACAAAAATGGCAGCTTACAGCAGCATGTGGGTGCCATTTCGAGTCGACATATCGGCAGAGAATTAGACTCACCATTGCTGGGCCTCAATCCACGGTGCGCAGTAGTAGCGCACCTCCATGGGGAATCGATTCTGCTGGTACAGCAGCTGCATCTGCTGTATGGCCGGGCCCTGCAGCTGCTGCAGCTTCAAAATCAGCGACATGCTGGGTTTCTTTTATGCTACTGGCGGTGTCCTAGATAGCTTTGCGCTGCTCTCCTTTGGTAAAGCTGCCAAAGCGGGGCACCGTTCCGAGTTGCGGATGCCTTTCTGTACAGTAAAACTGGTAACAAAGAAAAACAAAAAATCAGTGTTCTGATTCCTTTGTTCAGGCACCCTTCACCCTATCCCCCTGGGCCCTTTTGGCTAGGAACCATCCTTGATCCTGCAAAATCCTCCAATTACCACGACGTAAAAGTTTGATAATTTCTCAATCCTCCAAATCACCTGTTTTGTCTTGAATTTGTTAAGTGGAAGGGTATGTGACCACTGCCTCAATCCTTCAAAATCCTCCAACTCACTCCTACACACGTTGGGGCAGTGCGGATATCTAGTATTAACCCTGATCCCCTTGAGCGATTTACTAGGAACCTTCCTCACTCCTACAAATTCCAACACTATGTGGTAAACTCCTACACCCAAACTGTTGGACTCTGATTATGGTGGTATGCCTTACCCCATGTAAAGCATAATCAGTTTACTAGTGCAGTAACAGATTCCAACAAACCCTGGTGTTGGAGTTTGACTGGATGGGGATTGTTAGGGTTAATGTCTACGCAAACATTTATACATGGCTAAGCATAAACAACACGAGGTATACCTTGACACAATGCATTCTCCAAAATCAACTGGCACTAGTATGGCATACTGCCTCAATCCTCCAAAATTGTCCAAAACTGCCTGGGTAATTTTGGTATCACAAAAGACTTCACTTTTGGGGGGGGGGTGGGGACTTGTTGCACACAGTGTAAACAAGTGCAGCACATAATGGGCTGCGGCGAAACCACGCCGGAATCGAATAGAATCGACTCCAAATTTTGGAATCGGAATCGCGATTCCACTTTTTTTGAGGAATCAATAATCTGATGTAGCTGATTCCAAATCCCCAAGCGTCGATTCCAGTCTTTGCGCGACGATTTTGAAGACCAGCCAACTCCAACACACCTTTTTTTTTTTTTTTTTTTTTTTTGATATCTTTTTTGGCAAAAATTATGGGATCGATTCGGAGTGGAATTGCAATTCCCAGACCGAATTGGAATCGATCCCAAAAATGCTGGATTCGTTCAAGCCTACCACATAATATACATGTAATATCAAATTACTTTCATGCCAACAGCTTTGGGACCACAATCCACAAGTGGCTCAATCCATACCAAACCATAATAAATCACCTGAGGTTACAAGGTAACCAACTCAGATTTAAACTCATAACAAACAATAAATCTGCCCCTAGTCCAAGTCATGCCCTAGGTACATATCCCCCATAAAACAAAGACCCGTCTCCTTTCCCTATTCCGAGTTGCATCGGTCTAGATTTTGTTACAGAGGGGGGTTTCGTTGTGTTTGGTTTTGTTTTCATTTTCTACATGCTGAATATTACACACACACAAACATTTATAAACAGGAATGAATATTTCTTGGAAAGTGGTACACCTGATATGGTATCAAATTTGTAAATTTTCTGCTATCAAAAGCATGTCAACAGATTTTAACCCTAACTCCCTAGGCCTTTTTGCTGGGATGTACCCTCAATCCTGCAAAATCCTCCAATTGGCCTCATGGAAAAATAGCATATTTAGCTTTAATCCTGTAAATTGCTCCATTATTTCTTGAATATGGTCAGTGGAGGGGTGACCACTGCCTGAATCCTGCAAAATCCTGTGGCAGTGACTGTCAATATGTTGAGGCTTGGCCAGTGACATCCTGGAGCAGTACGGAGGATTTCAAGCATAATCCAGGCCTACATATTTATGAATGGCTGAGCAAAAAACAACACAAGGTCCGGCCCAAGACCTTGACAAAGTGCATCCTACGAAATCAGTAATGCACTTTTGCATGTAAACTCAATCCTCCAAATTCCTCCACTTTGGCAAAGAGGATGTTGAAGGATTCAGGGCGGTTAGGATTAATTTCAAGATAAAGGTTTCAATATGGTGGGGATGGGAGGGGGGGGGGGGGATCTGGCTGGTATAAACAGAGAAAGTCAGCGAGGAGTTTAATTTGTAACATAAACTGTACATTACGCAGGTTTACCGGTACTTCAAAACAAGGACAGAGAAAGTTTGACAAACCACTCCTCTGAAGGAGACAGGGCCAACACCTGATCAAAGTTAGCCAGACAAAATGTCAAAAGTACCACCATCTCCAATGTTGGTATTTATTGAAGTTTTGAATTTTAATACCTGTTTTAGGTTGAAAAGGTCATGTTTGAATGATAAAAAAAACACCACTGACTCTAATTTGATCAAAAGTAAAGAGAGGCCCTTCACTACACGATCGCCCACTTCATAGTGACTACCAGCCCCACTAGTGTGGTGTTGGTATTACTGCACTGTGCCATCCGCCACACAGCAGGTTTCTCAATCTACTGAGGATATACTGGCGCACCTATTCTTACATACCACTGCATTCGGTTGTATTCTATGATGTCTCAGCTTTTGCCCTCCGCATTGATTAGGTAGGGTTGATTAGGTAATCTTAATTCCAATTTTCCGAGAATTTTAAGCATCTTTCTGGCGTTTGCATGCACACGTACAAGGTCTGTCAATGGCAGCCAATTTTAATGTACGGTAAGCATGACCCCAAAGCTCAGACTGGGACCGTGAGTGCATAAAAACGTGCAAAATTACAACTGACATTTTTTTACTCACCATTTGGCTAATTAATGCCCACACAACACATACATCAAAATGCTGTAGTTGCAAGCATGTCACCTGCGGAATTTGAGACCTTAAATCCAATTTTAAGGCAAGTTTTTGGCAGTTCAAAAACCATCCACGTCATTCTCCATGCTCTAGGAATGTATGTGTGATTCCCAAGGTATTCTGGGTAGGTGTAGGAAGAGCCTTGCAGCTTACTTGTTTTTTAATCGATGGCCAAATGAACATAGCGCCCTCTGTTAAAAAATGAATCATTCTTGCACTCACTCAGATCAACAAGAGGGCGCTGTTTTATCTACACGATGAAAATGTTATAGCTGATGAGGAGTCTTTTTGCACAATGCATTGCAGTACACATCAACGTGATGTCTCACGTTTGGATTTCGATATCTCTCTGCAAAATTAGAATTAAAAGCTGAACTTTTGGTGATGCAATGCTCACAACAGCAACTTTACGAGGCAGTTTGAGAGTCCCAAATTTTCGGACTACCCAAAGCTGCGACGTTGAAATGCAAAGCGATCTTGTTGCCCCGACTGCGCGAGTTGTGATGTGACAGCTGTTTCGTGTACAACCTCTCAAACGATAGTACAATGCAGCGCGCAAACAGCCTATACTGTCTGGGCAACAGGTCTCTTCTTAAAAATTAATTTGTAGCCAAAGTGGACCATGGACTGGAGCTAGCGCGCCTGGGTACGGCTGTATCATATGCGGGAAAAACAAATCGTGTTCAGGGATCAGAACAGCCAGCCAATCAGAGGGCTCCTTGATTATTTATGCTGAGTATGACATCCAAAAGCTGTCGGGTCAGTAGTACATTCTTCATACACAGAACAGTCCATTGACCACACGGCTGTTGGATGTCGTACTCAGCATAAATAATCAAGGCGCCCTCCGATTGGCTGGCTGTTCTGATCCCCAAGTGTATTTTTTTCCCACACATGATAGGGCCATAACCCAGGCGCGCTAGTTCCAGTCCATGGTCCACTTCGGTTGACAAATTAATTTTTTAAAAGAGACGAATTTAACTAGAAGGAAGCATGGGGTAGTCCTACTTTTGGACAAAAGTTGTGGTGCTTGGGTAAGTGACCCCACATGCCGAGTATGAGTCCGAATGATTTCCATGAAAAAAAAATGGGGGGCTGACCTACATGTATGTATGGCCCATAGTGCACAGTCTACTCCAGTGCGAGGCCACAGACTAGGGCTAAAGATAAACTAATCAACGCGGAGGGCAAAAGCTGAGACATCATAGAATACAACCGTATGTGCAGTTTTTGTGCAGCATAAAACGACACTCTCCTCAGTAGGTTGGTTAGCATGGCTGTGTGGCCGAACTTACAGCGCAGCAATACCTAGCCCCATAAATGTGGCCTATTTGCTGGACTACCTCCGTAAATATTGGCCACACTATCAGATTTACTGAATGTGAAAATAAATTTGGTGACAAGTGCTAACGTTGCGAGTAAATCTGATAGTGTGGCCTTTATTTACGGAGGTAGTCCAGTAAATAGGCCACATTTATGGGGCTAAGCAATACCGAGGCCACACTAGTGGGGCTACGCCGATATAGAAAATAAGAAAACTTTCTCAGTAGATTGCGAAACCTGCTGTGCGGCGGATGGTAAAGCGCAGGCCGCAACATAGTACCGACATCACACTTGTGGGGCTAAGTTACTACCATGACTACACCACTGTACACACACAAACATGACAAATTTGCATCAGGATATACAACATTCTTTTTCCATAGATCCCTCACTATCCGCATCTGAAACATCAGAAGAATTTCCTATGAAAAAGTTCCATACCTGGACATCACTTGACACCCTGTGTACTAGCCCCATAAATGTGGCCAATTTACTGGACTACAGGCTCCATAAACATAGGCCACACGTCCACATGTACAAAAACGTGTCGCACTTTGCCAAATTTTGATTTTCACATTTTGGCTTAGTTTGTAGGTTTTTTTTTGCTTTAGAAGCATACTTACCCTCTATATAGGCTAATCAGAAAGTGCTGCCTTTTTCAGATGTCTAATTTTTGTGAAATTTCATGTTGAAATTTTGATACGCAAATGTGTGCAAATGAATCTGGAAATTTCACGAAAAATAGACATCTGAAAAAGGCAGCACTTTCTGATTAGCCTATGAAGAGGGTAAGTATGCTTCTAAAGCAAAAAAACTTACAAACTAAGCCTAAATGTGAAAATCAAAATTTGACAAAGTGCGACACGTTTTTGTACATGTGGACGTGTGGCCTATGTTTACGGAGGTAGTCCAGTAAATTGGCCACATTTATGGGGCTACCTGTGCACAAACCATATGACTTATGAGACTGGTCTGAAAAATTCCAACTGTCTTCTATCTCAGTCAGTAGGCTTATGCTTCAATATTTTCCCTGCTATTGCTAAATTTGACTTTAAATTTTAGCATGTTTAGGGCATGTTATCGCTTTCAATTCATTCTGGTGGCTGATAAAGTGATAGGTCAGGTCACTGCAGTGCAGGGACAAATTTGTGACGTCCATGTATGGAATCCTTCCATTTCCTACTACAGTCATGCCACTTTTTTAATATCGAACCATTATTACACAATAATTTCCCAAGTAAACCCTAGCCGTGGGTTTCCCGTGCAAATTACCCAGTGTGATCACCATTTTATTTTTTTCGGAGTGAAGTTAGGCGGGCCTTCAACGAATGTGTTTATTTGACAATCAAATCGAGACAATATTTCAGCGTGAATGGACATCAAATAGTACTCACCTAACTCCCAGATTGTTTAGATTTCTCGCTGGATCTGAATGAAACCGATGAGTGTGTCCAAATTCGTAAGAATGAAGATTGTTGTTACAACTCGAGTGAGCTAATTTCTCAGAAATTCATTTCGCGGGAGTCAGTGTGCATATCGAAACTAGACTTCCGCCTGTGACGTCTAACCAATAAGTATATCCCGTTAATTTTTATTGGCTTATATCTGCAGTTCATTTTTATGCAGCACATTTCAACCAATCGCTGTGGATTTTAGATGGCTGTATGCGATGTCTGGTGTACCAATACATTTTGCATGATATTTTTACGGTGAACCAGACTACAAAATCCAACGTACCTGGAAATCATGTTTTATTCATGAGGCTCCAGGAATCAGCTAGTGTTTTCCTGGAAAACAAGCTTCATTCACAAAAACAAGACAGTTTTAGCTAAATCTGCCTTTCGGATGTAGCTTGTTTTCCTTCTTAAATTAAGTCGCGAGTCGTATACTATAATAGACCTTCATTTTGTTTCATGGCTAGCTAGGTATTTAAAAAGAAGAAGAAGAAGAAGAAGAAGAAGAACCGGAGACACAATAGCGACGCTACGATTGTTTCGATCGTGGAAGAAGCCGGGGCGTTAATGGAGTATCCAGCGGGAAAAAGGGAGGGGGGGGGGGAGTTGCCCCTAAGCGGATATTTTGTCGAGAAATATAAGAATTTGGACCCTTAGCCTACGATTCTCTAAGTTCAAGCATTAAATTCCATTATTGTTTTTAAATGTAGATTTTGATACACTGCGATTTTTTTCTGAAGATGAATGATTCTCATCAAGAACCAAATAAAAACAAATTAAAAATGGTATGGAGTATAACATTTTTTCACTCACAAAATAAGTCCGCTCAACAGATCACATACGGTCTGCATTGATTGTTAAAAGAGAATTTTCAAAACGATGTCTTTCTTTTAGTGTGGAGTTTTGCTGCTGATGCTGCTGTTGTTGTTGCTGATGTTCACTGATTGCTGTTGTTGTTGTGCGTAACTTTTTTTTGTACTGTTAAAAAAGGTGATAAAGAAATTTTCCGAGATCAAAGACCTTCAGGATTCGATGCAGTGTATGCCTACACAGTTACATCACAGGTCTGCCAACGGAGTGCACTTTAAGGTTGGGGTCCATCCGCTGGGGACTGGGCGCCGCAGTTCCACGAAGAAGAAACGTCGACCCAAAATAGCTATTTCGGCCTGTTTGTGAGTGGAGGTGACTATGCAACATGTTATAGGCTTCCGATCGACGAATTGGGAAAACAAAGAAATATTCTCAACAACACTGCAATGACTCATTTTATTTACCACTAAATCTGCGGGTTTCGCCCATTATAGCAGTACTTCCCGCTCAGTATCCTGGTAATGAAAAACGCCCATTATAAGTGTAATGTATTTATAGAGCTCATGCATTAATTGTAATTTTGCATTTAATACAATCCTTGAAACTGCAGCTTTGTGCCCCGTTAACCTTATTTTCAATTTTTGTTTGCCGTTTTCAAGGGTATTTTGGAGCCTTCTTGTTTTTTTTTATGCTAATGCGAATTTCCGATATTCCTGAGCAAAAGTGTGATGTCATTTCAGGCAGACACCTCAATGTAAACAGCTATTTCAGCACAAACAGTTGCCAGGATTGTGGATATTTTGCTGTCATAGATTTTGTCTGATGATTCCTGGTTGTTTCAGTACATGGTAATGAAGCCAATGATCAAACTTTTCTCATGATGTTTTCAATTAGCAAATGTTGTGATACGCAATTTAAAGAGGAAACCCCTAAACGGAAGTGTTTTCCTGAAATGACATCACAGCAACAGCGCCCTCAGTTGTTCATAAAATGACTTTTTTTTAATGTTAAAAGAAGTGCATTTTAAAATAAAATAAGCCAACTAGTTCTTTAATGTTCCTAAGAAAACCTCATTCATGAACCCTTTAACTAACTCAGAAGTTGACTATAATAATATATTAGTTCCTTCACTTTTTAGGCTTAAATTGCATATTATCCCGAGCCTAGTCGAATTACCTCCGTCCTCGTGAGTAAAGAAAAACATTCTACTAATTCTTTCAATGTGAATTTGTCAGAATAACATTTTGTTGTCTAGAAATGTAAATCTCTTTTTTGTTGCTTTAACTAATAGTTCATGTTTTTAGATGTTTGATATCTCTGCCAATCAGATTTAGACGATGACCGTTTCTCCGCCCGGTCCCACTTGCCGCACTGCTGCATAGGTCACGATGTCGACATTGGAGACAGTCAAGGCATGATAGCCCCGTTTTCGTCCGAGCGGTCTGGAAAGCGGAATGGGAAATGAAATGTAGTATCTATTTTGTTATGTCGTTTCGGATATGTAATGGTTAAAGGCATATAGGATCATTTGCATTTGCATGTATCCCAAAAGCAAGGCCTACCGAATTATAAGCAAAAGGCTTACTTGGATCAAAGATCGCACTGGTACTAAACACCACGTGAAATACTTATCCCGTCTGGCTTGCTGTCATTATAGAAGAACACAAGAAATGTAGATGATTTTTCAACGATCGGTCAATTGACTGATTGTTGGAAATAAAAAGTGGCATGGACGAAATCATGTTTCGTGTTCAAAATGATTTTTTTTTTTTTTTACTGTTTTCATGAAAAGTGTAATGTCCACATGAGCTGAAACTGCACGTTAGGTTTTGAACATTTCTTATTTTTATTTGGATTATATTTTGAGGTTCAGAGCGGAATCTGCGACCTCCAGACTGCCGTTCTCTATACCAACTGATTCATGGCGCCGGATTTTTTTTTAAAGGGTATTTAAGTCCGAGAACCATTTTCCGTTGTCATCTGACGCATGCGCATTATGGTCATTGACTATACTTGGTTGCAGAAAAAAGTAATAGACCTCTATCATGCTGCCGCCATTTCAGTCATGTTCCCTGTATCCAATAACAGTACTGAACGATGTTTTTGTGCAAAAAGGAACCAGACTATTTTCCCTTCCAGCTTCGCTTTGGTTACATTGATTTTAATGGGGAAAAATCAAGTGGCTGCAACATGATAATGGTCTATTGCATATGATGCACCTACTCGAGAGAAATCACTCACATTCTTGGTACGCAGTGCCAGTGCGGGAGTCTAATACCGGCCTGTGAATCGCCCTGGGTGATGGGTCTCGTCGGCACGGTGGGGCGGGGCCGATCAGGCCTGCTGCTCGCACTGTCATCGCATTCCTCCTCTAACCGGCTGAAAGACTGTGCATCAGCCATCAACCTCATTTGCAATAAAATAAGAAGAAGGAAACTAGAAATGTGTTTGTGGACAAACACAAGCTGTTTCTGATATTTGAAATACTCTGTGCACGTGATGAACAACTAGTGGCGTCACTACAAATGTCATATATGACAGCATATTATACGTACATATTATACGTATCTGTAGATATAGGCCTATAATAGAAAAAAATTGTCCCTTTAAGGGATGTCACATGACATTTGATGATGATATTACTTGAATTTTCATCTATAACACAACAAAGGTCAAGTTCGCGCAAGGACTATAGTTAAGTTGACCAATGGTTAACTAACGTTTGCCCGAACTCTGTCTAGTCGACGGTGGATGACTAGGCTAGTCGACTATTTGGAACCAGCCTACTGGGGTTGGTTGCTTTGCTGGTAACCAATAGCCGCGCGCATTCATAACGATAGCAGAGAGCCAGGATCCAGAAGTTTTGCGATGACGTGACATTTTGACCAGCGTTTGACCATGTTTGACTAGAGCCGTTCGCACGTTGCTATTAGTGCGCAGGCGTAAGGTACGCCACAAATCAACCACTAGTCGACTAATGGTCCTTGCCCGAACTTGGCCTCAGTTGGGGTACGCCGGCGTATAGCTAGAATACTTGGAAACAAGACGGAACTTGGCCACTAATCTTTGCATTGCATTGATTTCAAAACAAAGGCCAACAAACTCTGTTTCCATGTTTGTTAAGTAGTATTGCTGTTGGACGATATAAATGCGCTGTCACTGTGGACAGTGCGTTAAACTGTTAGAAATGTTATGTGCTCATCAGCAAATCAACGATCTAAATCATTGATGTCGCGATGATGCACGGACCTTTCGATTGCCACGATGCTAAGTTGCATAAGACAAGTTCTGATGGCCCTTTTTTCACCAGCGCTTACCCACCTCAATAATTTGTTAAGAGCGCCCTTTTTAAAGAAGTGCCTTTTTTTGTACAAGTGCCCTTTTTAAAAAGAAGTGCTGCCCTTTTTTTGTGCCATCGGCCGTTCCAGGTGCCTTTTTTTAAATAAATAATTGCACGCATGTCGTCACCGACACCACGAAGTAACACTCTACCGTGTTAAACCATATTTTTTTTCGATTTTCAGTTTTTTTGATTTTTAAACATTATTCATCAAGGCCTACCATTGCACGAAGTTTCAAAGCTTCAAGAGCTTTACTTTAACAATTACGCTAAGTATCCATGGCAACTTTTGCTCAAAAGTGAAGTTCCATTTACCATTGCAATGCATGGTGCGCACTCTGCTCATAAGTGAGCAAAAACTTTTTCACGAAGTAACACTCTTCTTGTAATAAGTTGTATGAGCGCGCGCGTGCTGACCTGAAGTTGCACTTTCCTCGTGTTGAATACATTGAAGAGTGTTCGTGAAAACGAACATTTACAGTTTCGCAGCCTTTTCGGTTTCACGAACTAACACTCAACCTTTTGTTTCTCTTATTACTTGTTTATTTAATACACAAACGGGTGAAAAACAGCAGATTTAATAAATTCAATTCATCAAGTGTCCACAACGAGAAACCCAACTGAAAATACTCTGTCGTTTTGACGCAGAGTGTTGTTTTAGAAGGCGTTCAACTTTAGTTGCCGTTTTCTCCGATTGCTACTTTTTTTTACTGGTATGTAGATGGGTGTTACTTCGTGGTGTCGGTGACGATGTATCGCCCTGAAGCGCCATATATTGTCCGTTAGTGTGCATAATCGTCGGTTTTGAAGAGCGCCCCCATCAACAGATGGTCCCACCCCCACCCCAACCCCCACCCCGCTTTTTATATTTTATGGAGGCTAAGTGTCTGGAGAAAAAAAAACCACCGACGGTGTCTACATTTCACCACGGATGTGCAAGTGCCCTTTTCAAGAAGTTTTTACCCCCCCCATAAATATGACCGTGATAGCCACAGTGATACATTACCTTACTTCCCCCCCCCCCAAAAAAAAAAAAAAAATAGGGGAAAATTCTAACGACTCCGCAATGTGTTCAAGATGTACATTAAATGAAAGTTTGATCATCTTTAATTTCTTGTGAAATATGATTTTGCGTCTTTATAACGCGTAAACATTAGACTATATCACTCCAAAGATGATCACCAAAGTTCTGCAGTCCATCACCATTAAAAAAAAGAAAAGAAGAGGTTCCTCACTTTCCAAGCCAAAAAGTGCGACTCTCGTGCTCAATTTCATCCGTATTTTCTCAGAGGCTGAAGGTTTTGTTCAAACCCATAAGTGCAAGTGCCATAAGTGGGTGCATATATACCTATGTTCCTAAATATCTACGTTCCCCAGTACCGATGTTCCCCGAAATCCTTACCCTAACGCTAACCCTAATACTAATCCTAAGGATTTCGGGGAACATCGGTAATGGGGAACATATAGGTATTGGGGAACATCGGGTAGAGCCCCTTATTTTATAAGGCTCTCAACTAAGTAAGACATCTTTTTGGTTTACAAATTTGGATCGAAATCTTAGCAACCTAAAGAGGCTTTAGGTTCTTATAACAATATAAGGCTAAGTAAGAGAGAAAAGACATCCATTAGTTGGGTTGACGATTGGCCTGCTGAGGCTGCTGTACGTCATGCAAAAGACAAGGTTGGGATCACTTACCTATAACGAGGCAATAGCAACGCTCACAAGAAGGTAAAATTCGTTGTAGATATTTTCAGTTGATGAGTTTCTGCCATTATTATTTTCGACCGATTTCGATAAAAGCGCTAGCGTTGACGCACGTGCGCGCGTCAGATACGGAGCGTACAGTCGATGGAACAAGATGCCTGCACCGTACACGCGTCACAGTAAGCAAAGCGGGCCCAACCTCGTTCTCATGGGTATGAGATCTTGCTGCGCCATGTTGTTTCCCATCATGCCTTGCGCGATCTCAAGGAAGTGACGCGCACGCGCCCATGGAGTTGAGGCTGAAGCGGGCCAACTTTATTTCACGTAATGGTCTCTATCCCCAGGGTTCCTATGTAATTGTTGTAACTCACATTAAATGAACAAATCAAATTAACTTAATTAATTACAAATTGGGGTCACTATTCGACAAGCCTTGCTTTTTAGAGACCCCCATCCACATTATTATGATCTTATGATTTTCTCTGCATATTGTTCTGCATTGTTATGCGGGTAAATGAAGTAAGATTGATTGATTGATTGATTGATTGATATTTCGATTATCGCCAGAACCGGGCACCGTGTGAAGTTGAAAATCGGCGGGTATATTGACCGGGACCACAGAATGTGGAAGTTGTTAGGACGAGCGGTTCTCGAAAAAGCTGAAAAAAGCAAGTAAAGTTTGTAAACTCTTTTTGTACTTCAATTATGAGGAAATACTTTTCTTTTGGGTCAAATACTTGTGGAAACAGGCTCCAGTGAGTTTCATTCCCTCTAAAATGTATGCGACAAGCCAAATCACCAGGGAAACAGAGCTAAAAATGTCCTCATTTTGAAATTCCAAGATGGCGGCCAAGATGACCTTGGAAAAATGGAAACAGTGGTTTTTGGGTTCAGAAGACCCTAAGGTTTCCAAAAATGTATGGTTTACCTAATTCCCAAAAAATCCCAACGAAACTTGGATTAAGTACATTGTGAACCGGACTATAAATCTTACCCTCTCGAATAAAGCTGATGAAACTCGCCCCATACAATGATTTGTCGTGCCTTGTCGACATGATATGAACGTTAAGTTTAATTCCATTGATAAACAACAGGGTTAATGAAGAATACAAAAATAGGACATAATATTTGACATGTTGTACCAGAGTGAAAAAATAAGGATGTTCATCGGACATTTTGAGATTTTTATATTTATTTGAAAAGTTGGTGCATTTACATATACGTGGTTTTTGGGTGTGGAATCTTGAGAGATAGATGTTCAAATTGAGTTGATAATTTTCTAGCATTAAATTATTTTAATGAGCCTTCCTCCCCCCGCCTGGATCCGCCCCTGCACACCTGATGTTGCATCTGTTGCAGGGTGGCAAATTGCAACGGGCTACAGAGTTGAAGAGCGAGCCAGGCGGGGACGCTGAATGATAGCAGCAAAAATCGTGCACGTCAGACCGCAGGGATGAAGTGCGCCGCCTACTGTCTGAGAGTGTCCATGAGTGTCCGCTTTTGACAGTGCCCCTATGGGTGCAGACCAGTAAATCGGTCCGAAATTGCCTGCGCCGGCCAAATCACGATTTGCATGCCCTCAAAATCTTCGGTATTTGAGCATGCTGTGGGCCATGAACTTGAGGGTTTGTAAAAAATATGGGTGGAAGCCGTGCACAGGACTGGGAGCTTGCATTTCTGTTTAATTTTGATGTAATTTGGACCCTAAAAGCGCTCTATTTTGCAATGGAGTGTAGGCATCGTTTTTCAAAATGGCGATGGGCTTCATGACTATTTTCAGGGGTGATCATCTTCAGATGGAAATTTCTCCTAAAAGTCATCAGTTGACACCCCAAAAATTGAAAAGAAAATGAAAGATGATGAAATAAGCTTTAATTTGATGTGTGTCTCAAACACCTTAGAGAGTTTATTTACTGGTCTGCTACCCTATAGGGCCTGCAATAAACTGCCATAGACCCCAATGATAAATGCTCCCACTTTAAAAATTCGGGAAAAATATTTGAAGAGCGAGCCAGGCGGGGACGCTGAATGAAAGCAGCAAAATCAGGGCGGCGACATCGGCCTGTCGGAAAAAAGCGTGCACGTCAGACCGCAGGGATGAAGAGCGCCGCCTACTGTCCGAGAGTGTCCATGAGTGTCCACTTTCTTAAACGCCACAGGTCGAACAGAACGATCCGAACAAAGATAGATTCTATATCGCTTGAGGGCGCTGTTCTTTTCGCGCGTACTATAAAGGCGCTTTTGACAGGACCAGCGGGCCGCGGTTCATACGTTTTGTTGTGTGTATCCACTTTTACAAAACATTACATTGTGGACCACATTTCTATCTTTGTGCGTGTGGAATGTACAAATATCCAATTCATGTCAATTTGCAATGGCCATATGATTATTTTATGCCAATTGCAAGGAATGGTGGTGCAGCCCTGCTGATGCGACGGTCGGCTCGTTTACATCTTTTCCAGAAGCACGTGGCAGGCGCTCTCAAATTTCTTACCCGCCGCTTCGGTGTAAATACAACACCTTTGGCTGTATCCACGTCGGAAGGAAATCATGAAGATGTCAGAAATGTTGAGAGACAAGATGGAGACGCAGGCTTCCGATCTTCAGTTTCCTCAAGCTTCACTTCACAACTCCGAAATTTCCAAAATCATGGTCTTCATGCAGTTGGGTAAATATCAACTTTTTTTATGGCAATGCTCTCTGACGACCGGGAAAAAAAGTACTAGTAGTAGGCCTATAGTTGCAACAACCGTCACTGCGCGCCCTTTCCCATTGTGCTATAGTGGGGCGGACTCTATATGCATTTTTGGGTACACTCTCTCCCAACACATATAACCTAGGCGGTACTTCAACAAGTTCAAAACCATTTAATGCCATTTTGTCTGACCCTTTTAGGGGCGGGTCATGACGCTAAAAAGTGGGGGGCTGCGCCGGCAAAAGAACGATTCCGATAATTTCACCTTTTCTTTTCTTTTCTGCATTTGGCCAGCTCACCCATAGAGCTGCTCACCCAAGTGAAAATAAAATAATTCAAGAATTTCGCCATTGCTGGGAGTTGGCCATATTTTTAAACAGTAGGCCTAAGGGGCAAATGGCGTAAACAAACAAAAAATCGGCTGCAACAGGCAATAGTTTTTTTTTTCAATCCAATAGGCCTATAGTTGGGCAATTTCCAAAGGTTGCCATTATACACTTCAGTCATTGTTCTGCATCCCACTTTTACGGAGATTGTACATTATGAGGCCGTTGAAAGAAACAGCGTTGATGCGAAATCAAATCCCTTTTGCTATAATGGCCTGGAATTACAACATTCAAAGCATTTTGCGTCTGAAAGGGGATTTCAAATTCCTGCTCTTAATAGTGGCCGTTTCTGTGTTATCCTCTTGGTCGGAAATCCTCTCAAAAATTTCCTTGTTCGTATTTTACCCATATAATCCGAGAGCCCATTGAGGTCTCTCACAAAAGGTTTAATGGCGGCAGCGAGTAGGTGGGGTGTCCAGCCTTCAAAACCGCAATTCTTAAGTGTCATACCCGTGCGTCTGGGAGGGGACACCGCCTAATTTTTTTTTTTATGTCTAAGTTCATTAGAACGATCATTCCAACACCAAACAGTCATGAATGAGTCTGCTTTTGCAGATTTTCAACTTACGAATAAAAAATCCCGTGCAAAATTCACTTAAGAACGGCAAGTTAATTGCCGATTTCTGCACGGCTTAAAAAAGTATTACGCAATGCACACCAAAGCATCGCTACCAACGTACTGCATTGCAAAACCACTGCAATGTGACATAGTGTAATATACGATATTATGCATTAATATTATGCCGGCCCAAATATTCGAGATAGTCATGATTTTGCGAATTACGCAATAATGCAACCTATCACGTTATTAAGAAATAAATGTCCGCGTTAATATGGCCCAGTTAGTCAATTCTCATGGTATTTAGATTTTTTGACGATGTATCATAGCCTACCTGATACATGAATGGACTGTAAAGCAGACTCACTCATGGCGGAGCCTGAATTATTAAAGAGAGATACATTACGAAGAAGGCCTGAAAGCAAGCAAAAGATTTAGGATGTATGATATGGCGAACATTTTAGTATGCCGGGGATCCTAAGGGCCATTTGGATTTTCTCCCCAGTTTGATGCGAGTCCTTTTCGGCATAAAAAAGGATGATACAAAATGGCCGGGATCGATGATTTTCCCCTTTAAAAACTGCTATTGAATTGGACACACCAAAGAAGCGCTGTTCTAAACGGGCATGTTTTTCCACTCATCCGGAAAACATAGATCCCAACTAACGGAAGTCATACGCATGTTTAATTAAAGTAACACAGTTTTTACAGCTGTCCATGGAGTGTTAAACTTTTCCAACCAAAGGCGCACAGTTTCTTAAAAAAGAAAGTAAAAAAAACCCACCGCAATATTTAATATATTATCAGATCAATACATTCATAACTGTGTATAATGGTTCATATAGGGCCTATAGAGTGATTCTTGATTCAAGACATTCTTTGATTTTGATCGAAATAGACCATGGGCCTGTTATGAATGTGTACTTTTAAGTGGAGGAAGGGGAAAACCTATATATGTATAATTATTTGTTTATGAATTAAATGATTGATACCAAAAAAGTACTAATGAGGCCTATACATAATTATGCATAAATCGGAACCTCTACAATACCGTGAGATCAGGAAGTGGGAGTGTTTCTGGGGGTTTAGAAGTTTTTGAAAAAGAATGAATAATTCACAAATAATGCGTTGTAATTCAAAAACTGTGTAACACTCTGTTATTTTACAGTATATACATGTGTACGGTACGTGTTTATTTTTAAAATTACTGTCATGGTATTTCGCGATTCTTGGGGGCTGTTTTGCAAACTGATACGTATGCCTCAATGCTATTACGTCATTTCACAAAAAAAAAGTCAAGCCCGGTTCATACTCTGCGCGAAAGCGAAATCGAACGCGACTTGTGACGTCGTGGCAAGTATTCGCACTGCGAATTCGTAAAAGTTGAACATATTTCAACTCGGGCGAATTTCGCAGCGAATGTTTTATGACGTCAAATTCGCTTCGCATTCGCTTTCGCATGAAGTATGAACCGGGCTTTACGGTTTTGCGTTATT